ACTATGGTAAAATAAATGTTCAGCGATATCTTCAAAAGACTTTTGAATTTTGGCGCACTTTTTTTCTCTATATAATGTTGCTATGGTAACTAGTAAATGCTGTAAATTTGGTTATGCTAGCATGTGTGGAAATATTTAAACCACGTGTGTTACAACTTACCCCGCGTTACTTTGTGCCCCGCGCTCCCCTAACCAAACTTGCCTCACGACAAGGTGATCGAAAATAAGCAAGCCCCTTTTTATTTTTATTTTTTTTCTGCACATAAGTCTTCCGAAAACACATTAAACTACTTTAATTACTGTAACTAAGCAATTAATTATTCACGAAAATCGCAGTTTTGCAGGCTGCTTATTAAAGCAAATCGATGTTGTCTTCATCTTCACTACTAGGCTACAATAAATAGGTCTAGCCTATATATTTATGAGGGTCACTTGCCATAAAGAGAAAAGCACAATCAATGCTCATGGGTCGTTTCTGTATGATGACATATAGGCTATGATATGTACATGAATCATTGTCATAGACACTGAATGATGAAACTGTAGCCTACTTCATATATGTAGCCTAGCTAAATTGGGCGGAAGTATGTTTTCCATAAAACAGTACAGCCATTTGCTATGACAGCAGGGCCACTATCACTGAGATTGTCCTGTGCAACTAAACACTTTTTAAAAGTTTTGGGCTAAGGTAATTTCATGTCGAATCTGTGATTTATTTGTTTAAATATTGTTTGGAATGGCATTAACAGACCTCTGTGTGTTGTTGCTTAAATTTACAGGGCCAGGAAAAACGTGTAATATTCTCATACATTAAGGATGTTCTTAGTGGCCCCACTTTGTCAGAGGCCCTGATGATGGCCCTGCCTATATATGCGACTTTTGTCTTTTACAGTAGGACTAATTCACATTTATGACTTATTTTAAATTATGTAATAGTTTGAAATGCATAATGTAATACTCAGGCATTAAGTAATAGTATTTGTTTGCTAACCTTCTGCTTAGTCTGGAATTAACAAAGCAAACCTCAAGAAAAGTAAATAAAGTACAAGAAATCTCATTCAACAGATTCAAATGGTGTATGTTTTTGTTAGCTCTTGGTTTCTTAAAAATATTCAGATGTAAATGGTTGTTTTGGACTAAAACAATTGTATTAAAGAGAGTATTTAAGGCAGTTGTACGTTACACACACAAGCACACTTGCATGCACAGATGGAGAAGGAAGTTGGAAGTGTTGAGCAACTAAGATCCTCCTGCACTAGGACGACGTTGTGAAATACACTGTTCAAAACAACACCCTTTTCCTCCTTTACTGATCAGTTTCTCACTCACCTACAGGTATATATATATATATAAATTGTGTGATGTGGTGTGTAGCGGCCTTCCCAGTGTATTATATTTATTTTATCCCAGATATATTTACATAAGTTCATCTGTGGTTTAGACACACCTAAAGACAACCTTTTTAATTTATTCATTTTAATAAATAGTTTAATTCAATTAAAAAAGCATTTCAGTTTTGCCTTTAGGTCTTTAGAACATACAACTAAGATCCTCCTGCACTAGGACGACGTTGTGAAATACACTGTTCAAAACAACACCCTTTTCCTCCTTTACTGATCAGTTTCTCACTGTTCTACAGGTTCCCTTTCAAAACATCAAACGAAATGTCAAACTAAACTTCTTAAGAAATCTGTGAGTGTGGTGCAATAATCATGCAGGCATTTAATTATGAAAGACAACCAGTTAAATAACACATAATTAAAAGTTATACACTCACAATGTACAGTACTGTACTGAATGAAAGTTGTTTTGCAGCCTTTCTTTGAAATTGATCTTGGTTTTAGTGATTTTTGTATCAGCTGTGTTCGTGGTGTGAGAAATGTACACATAACAGACCACAGTCTTCCTCACACAGAAGAGGAAGATTTATTCTAGAAGTTTAGATGCTGTTGATCAAATGATCCAGTAATAGATTCATTTAAGCTCCCCCCCTCTCTCTCACTCTCCCACCTTCTATTGTGATGGTGATGAACTGCTCCTTGTCTACCTGTTACTTACTCTCCTTCCTGACTGACAGGTCATTCAACCTGTCCATCAGGTTTCATTTCCTCCTGCAGGACTCAAGCAGGGGCGGTCACACCTCAACAGCTCAGAGTGTCCCTGTTACCAGTGATGAAACACCAACAATACATTTCTCATAAAACTTTAGCAGGTACTCTGGTGTGAAAAATGTAATATCCAGATTTATGTGTCATGATTTGACTTTGATGCAGACATTTTTTATTGAATCAAGTCCACCTTGGCTATATTTTTTAAATTTAGGCCTATTTTACACACATATATATACACTGTTTTTTATATAAAGAGTTTTGTGATATACAGTATATATATATACATATATATATATATA